AAAAGTAGTACATACATGTGGACTGTCCAACCTGGTTCACACATGCGCGGAAAGAAAAACTTGAAAAAGGCCTCAAAAGGACTGATAAGAATCGCGAATAAATAGAGGAAAGTTTCCCGATACAGATCAAACCCAACATTTAAAACCAAAAAGTTTCTAAATCTACAATCCACACGAAATCTTCAGCCTCTACTGCATTATCCAAGAAAAGTAGTCAAGGCATAGTTAACAAAGGCAAAACGACGATCGGGACGAAAAGCCTCGATCGAACGCCATTTATAAAAAAAAATGATTGCGCCTGTGAATCGTACCTTCCTCAAGAAGGTAGGATACGCAATTTGCTTTTGCGTGCGACGTTTGAACGTCCTATGCATTTGTACTACATTTACATTTGCATTTGCCTCGCACGTGTGAACCATGCGAACCACTCAGAAATCCCTCTGCAACTACTATTCTGAGGTCCAAACAGGTTCACTCAGATTCTCGAATTAGTTATGCTGTTTCTCGCCCCAGTCTTCACACGCCGAAGGGGAAGGGAGAGGGAGCACTTCCTTACTTTGCTTAAACAAGAGAGGGAGTTTTAATTTTTTTTTTGGCTTCCCCAACCCCGCCCCCTTTCCGCAGCAAGTGCCCCCCACCACACCAGAAACCTATTTGAGGTAATGATACACTGGCTGTACTCCATATGATCACTAAGAGTTCCTAGTGAACAGTCTTAATGTAAAAAAAAGACGTAAATACAGTCTCTTTGGAATCTATCTTTGCGTGTCAACGGCTCCACACATGGATCTCATCTCCGTCTTTAATCTTGTACCTGTAGAGCTTTTTGGGTCCATATTTCATTTCTTCGAGACCAAAACACAACCCCACGTCTTTGTAAAGTATCTTAAAGCCTGGAGGAGGTATTCCGATGATCTCACTGACATACTTTTTCAGGCTCGTTGTGCTCTGCATAAGGTTAATTTCCTGCTCGCAGACAGGTTGATCGTCAAATATCAGAGATATTGTAGCAGTTTGTTTGGCTTTCAAGTTGACCTCTGCCAGTCGGTCCAACATTCCATGAGTTCCAACCAATTCAAGATACCTTAAAGGTGGACTTTTGTCATCCATGTGATGTCGAATGAAAAATCTTTCAGCATCTTCTCTTTCCTCTGCAGATATCTTGGTTTTGTTTAGTTTCTGTATGTTGGGGAGCCTTGCAATAAGAAGTTGTCGTTTGTGTTGGTCAGTGTACTGATACAGCAGTGGAATTCCCATCACACTGACATCTGTTAATATGGGGAAGGATTTAAGCGCATCAATGGCTTCCCACGTATCTAGCAGAGTGTTGTTTAGGTTCAACGCCTTCAGGTTTGGAAACTGTTGAGGAACCTCTTTTGGAGAAATGTTTTCCAGAGGGCACTCAGACATTCGTAATTCCACAAGTCCTGGGAAAACGAATCCAATTTTTCCAATCTCTTCCCATTGTGTGATGGCATGTTTGTTGATTGACAAGCTCTTGATGTTAAGATATTGTTCTGGGCAATCTGGAATACACTCGTAGCCATTCAGGCTGAGGTATAGGTCCTGCACCCTAACATTAGCATGGAAATGAGGTAAGGAACAACGGATGTAAATGTATCTCATGTCAATGAATGACAGTTAGAATTAATGTAAGCTCTGAAGGCTACCAGGGTCAGACTTTTGTGAAGAGTTATAGAGAAGGGTTATAAATTCTTAATCTGCATGAGATATTTTCATCCAATTTTGAAATTGAAATGTATTGCACACTTGTTTTCTATTCTTCAGCAATAACTCCAAAGGTTGTTTTGCAATTTTCTTTTAATTTTTTTTTATGCAATTTACCCTAGTACACACCTTTTGGTACCTGCATATCCACCCAACCCTTTCCTATCAACTCTTCCTATGGTCTAGGCCAATGGAGTGGTTAATATCAACTGTTCTTTCAAGTAATTAGAAAAAAAAAAGGTTTTCTGCACAAGAATGTTAGTTTCAGTGTAAAACTGTTAGTGGATAACAGGTGCAAGGAAAGGGTTGGGTTTCCAGTTGAGTAAAGCTACATGTGTTGGTCCATGCATTTTAACTTGTGGTTGTTCAGAAATAAGCCCACTGCACAACAAGCAGAGCAACAAAAAATAACACTAGCAACATGGAGGCATTACAATGTAGTCTGCCCTTGTTTTCCTTTTTACTATTGCTTTTCTTTGTCATTTTTGCATGTTTGTTGGTTTTTTTGTTGTACTTTATGACCTTTTGCACAGCAGTCTATCTGAAGCAAAACCTACCCACTGAGACAGTTCAGCAAAGAGTTCACTGTTTCCAGTGGCACAGCAGTGTTGTTTAGGATCAATTTTTTTACTGAAGGAAGTGACTCCTTTGGATGTTCTCCTAGTAATGGAGTAAAATCTGCAATCTTATGTGGCAAGAAGTTTTCACTCAGGTTTAGAAACTCAAGTTTCTGGAGTTGACGGATTATTTGAAAAACCTAACACATTAAAGAAAAACAATATTAATTATAACAATAGTAATTTATGCACGAGAAGCTAGTGCTCCATTACTGTGAGGGCTTGTTTGGGTTTCTGCTCTAAAAACTAAACAAGAGCAATGCTATTTCCCCTGGATGGGGAAAAAGTTAAATTCAGCCTTAATAATTTCAGTAAATATAAAAAGACCCTACAGTAAAAGTAGAAACAGCTACTATGATAACACATAGGGTACCTTCACTGCATGTGGGGAGGATATCTTGCTTTTTAAAAAAAAGAAAGTCTGCTATTTCACTGATATCTATAAAAGAAATGTGATTATTACTTGAAACAAACAGAATGCATTTACATGTATCTCACCTCATGAAAGTCAGAAAGGTCATTCTTGGCCAGATCAAGTTCTTCTACATTTGGACACATGGATGCAATCTCTCCAACTGGACCAGCACAGTTGATACCACAGTCATCAAGAGTTATGATTCTCTTGTGAAAGTGTTCTGACTGGCCAAAAGAGGCTGAAAATTACAAGTTAGAATTAGGAACTCTTGATAAATTCAGTAAGACAGACAACTATTTAATTATCACTAAAAAGACACTCAGACTGGCAGCATACTAAAAATTCAGTGGAACCTGTATTGAGTGGTCACCCACAGGGAATGGGGGCATTTAATAAAGGTTGACTGCTTTGTGCAGGTTCCACAGAACAGGTTACAAGAGAAATAAGATAAAAAGGCCATTTTATGCTATAATTGACCATAAAATGTACAAAAACTCGCTCAGAAATACTGCTTACATAGATTTTAGGAGATAAATATGGATTACATTTTCCTTGAAAGATCACTCTTAGTTTTGAGTAGTCCTGCTTTAAGTGACCGTTCATTACTGATGGAAATCAATATAAAAAGGCCACTAGGACTCAATAAAGGATGACCACAATCAACCTAACAGAGGTGACCGCTTAAAATGGTGAAAATTACAGTAACTAAGGGTAAAGAAATTTGGGACTGCTTAAGACAGGGTGACAGCTTAAAATGGTGCCACCTGAAACAGGTTCATATTGAATTAAGGACCATGTAAATGGAAAAAAAAAGCCACAACATCAACAACAACCAATCAAACACAAATACTACACAAAGGAAAAGAAAAACAATTGAAAAAAAAAAGGTAAACTTATTCTTGGTGTTTCATGTTGCCAAAGTGTATAACAACATAAAATAATTATTTGATTCAAAAGAAATATGGAGATTTGTCATAAGCTAATCACATGAGAAATAAGCAAATCAAATTTAGGCTCTGAAGCAAAGGACACTCTAGCTTTAGTAGAAAATTGTTCCTATTATGGCATAACTTTCTTGTGATAACGAAACAGACGATCCGCTGACTACCGATCGTCGAATTATAAATGCAAATATGGCTAGTAAGTGGCACAACTGGTAGCATTTTCCAGGTAAATGAAATAAAGTGACCCTAATCATCCACTGTTTTATGTATTTCTTTGGATGGAACAATCGACATAAAGTTCTAGAACATCGATGTAAATTTGGCCAAGTTTAAAATCTGAATGAATATCTGGAAAGAGTTCGCACAAGACGAATTCCTTCATTATGCATTCAGTATTGGAGAAAAGACGACAATGGAAAAACAATGAATTACCATATGGACCAAGGCTTTGTTTTAGAATAGAAGGGATAGGTTTCCTAAGAAACTGTGGTACTGCATCAGTGGGGGTGATGCAAGAAAACTTGGTTTTATCAACCGAGTTGATAATGTAAATGAACACCGTTAAGAGTTACTAAAGTTCGAACGTTACCCCTTCGCTAAACCCAATTCGCTCTGACGAAGAGCTAGCGCTCGATACGTCAGCTTTGGAAACTCCTCATGGTAGCCGACTTGTTTTATAATCGTATGAGGTCAGATGGAAAAATCTTTCCGACCACTTTTAAAATTAAATTTTTAGTGTCCAACAAACTCACCCTTTTGTTTTGGAGAGCCGGTTATGTGTATGAAGCACAACTCTTCATCACTTTGGTCTTCGCTGTATTTATTTAACAAAGCGTCTTTAAATGATAGCCTCCTTTTCTCAGCTAGAGAATCCTCCATCATGTCATTAAAGGTGGCAGAAGTACCTAGTTGCGCAAAATAAAGACTCCATATTCCTATAAACGATTAACACGAAAAATTCTACGGAAAAAATGGACTAGTTTTGCTGATCTTACAGAATTGGTCTCTCATGCGTGTCACGCAATGACCTAACAAAAATGAGCTAGTCACGCAATTTTTACCAGCGAAACTTGTAATATCGCTTTCGTGTACCTTTTTTAAGACTTCTTCCTTTGACTCTTTATCTTTCCAGGATAATCAACCGTAGTTTTCCCCAATACTTTCTTCGTTGTTGACCTGGTAAACTCTTTGTTTTGTTTTTATTTTTACACGACCGCAAAGGATCAGGGACTTGAGACGTGAGGGGCCTGGGAGGAATGACGTAATTTGCTTCTTACATAACATCGCTCCCAGATTCTTTAGTTCCTGTTGGGAATTTTCACTTTCCAGCTACACTGGAGCAGAATGATATACTTCCTGTTCTCTGTGGCCGTCATATTTCCTTTCCGAATGATTGTGCGGAGAAGCAACACCTTCTCTTCGGAAACCTGTTGAATTTGGGGTTGTTTTTACAGAACTTTCCCGAGATGATGAGCTCTTCACTATTTGCGAGAGTGGCATTTTACCCTTCTCTTCTCTGGGGAATTGTAACAGAGAGTTCGACTAAAAGATGGTATGATCGTATAGACACTCACATCCTCTTGGGTGCTTTGCCGTTTAAGAGTCAAACCAAAGAAGTAAGTAATTTCAAGAGCTCCTACATGTATTATTTGTTTAAGGGTATCTTGAGAAACTAATTTACACAACTATGAATTCCCTCTTCCCCTCTCTTTCCTCCTTCTTAATTCGAAAGTATTCATCGGGATCATCTCTAACTCACTCATTTAACATCTTTATCAACAGCCAAACTGTTGTAATTTGATAGGAATTCGAGATATGTTCTTTTGCTGGAGTCCTCACTTGAAACTGGGTTAACAATATTTGTTATACACTCATTATTTCCTTTGGTCAAAAGAAAAGTGTAAATATTTGTACCTACGTGGTATTATACGAATTCAAATGTATCCTGTGTAGTGATCATCATCATCATCATCAAAGATAGCTTTGGTAGATGGAATCATGCTCATGTCAGCAAAGGTAACTTAATGAATGCACCCTCCAAGTAGCTGTGCACAACTAACCCTTCAACTCCCAAGATCTCATTAGTAATTCTCCTTACTATCTGATACAGTTCTTGTGAGGTTAGTTTGGAGAATTTGTTATTGGATCAACTTATAATCCCCTAATTGATATTTTCTTTTTTCTCATCACTTGTCTGCTTGATATTGTATTGATATTGTAAGGAGAAATTCTGTCTTGGTCACTCATGGGAGTTAAAGGGTTAAGAAAAGCACATGTAAACACCCTGGCCAGTGTCCAACTATTTTTTTAAAAGGGGGTTAGTGTCTAAAGAAACTGTGGTGCTGTGTCAGTGGGAGCGTATTAATTAGGGTAATTAAGAATTATCAACTGAGTTGATGACGTAAGTTGGCCACTGTAAAGAGTTTAACAGCTGACATTTCGGGCATAAGCCTTTTGTCAAAGCAATTGTTTCTAGCAATTTCTTTTTTTAAAATCAGGATTAGTGTAACTGTGCCTCAACTGATAGCCCTGTTTTGTAATGGCCTTTGCTTCACCAAACTGCTCCAAGGGATTTAATTTACCAATAGTAGTTAGTCCTCTTTGCATGCATATGCACACAAGACCTTAGCTGGAGAATGCCATTGCCTTCTGTTGGATGCCAGTCAGTCAAACTGCCCCCATGTCTAACCTGTGTCTCTCAATTTCCCCTTTCTATGAGTCCAAGTTTCCTCAAAGGTAGCCTCTATTTTGTCTGTCATCAGGAGTCCATCAGAGGACAACTCTTAGTAGGGCTGAATTGCTGGCTTCTTTTTGTACATGGCTGATCCATCTTTATCTTCCTCTCTGGATGTGCTGCATGAATCATTGGGTTCTGTAACTAGATATAGCCATCCAATTATTAGTTGAAATCTTTGGTGAATGATGGAAACTCTTGTTATCCTAATGATAATCCTGATTGATATATTGATAACTCATTCAAATTATTTTGTTATAAAATAACAAAAAATTTTGTATGCTAAAGAATCGATTTTGTTTCATGATGAAATAAATGATTACAACTTTCCAATTAATGTTTTATCATTTGCAGTTGGTGGAAAATGAAAATGTCAGAGGAGTAGTAACCATGAATGAAGACTATGAATTACGATATTTTTCCAACAGCAAAGAGGTACAAACAATAACAATAGGCGCAAGTGTGTTGATTGTTATGCTCCCTAAAATTAACGATCTACGTAGTCTACAAGAAACCTCAGTGGGAAGTAACATATGACAGTGAGGGATAGAGGAACAAAAAACAAACAAACAACAAAATGCTACGCCATCAAGAAACCTTATAATAGGTTTTTTGTTAACAAAGAAAGTAACAAAGTCAATAATTGACAGCCAATTATCATTATTTCTCATTGAGTGATAAGTCACTGCCTAAGGTGGTTGATGAGGGTAAATCTTTTGTCTTTGGTTTACAAAAGGTACATTTCTAAATCCATGTTTTCTTTTATTTTTCTTAGGCTTTTATTTACTATTTTTAATCTGAAACATCTAGGGAGATAAGAATCAAACTGGTTTTAAAAACCCTTAGCAAGAAAAGACATAGACATAATCTGATCAACGTAACATTATTGTCTCTCTGTGGATAGTGTAACTTAGACTGTCACTCTGTCTGACAAATCAATGTTCTCCTTTTCAGGCAGTAACTGGTAACATTTACCACTTGTAGTACCTCTTATTGCCATTTAAAATTACTTGGAATTCTTGAAAATTCAACTTGTAAAAGGATTACTTTACCGGTTTGAAAATTTATTTTACCTGTCATGCTTAAAATAAGGGAGAACACTGCCAATATCCTGTGTTTTGGACTGCAACTCTGACAATGCTATATGCATTGCATACATGCATATCCCTAACCTCTGGTGGGTAATCCAACTTTTTCTGTTACGTGATCAAATGAAATTTAATTCATTAAAAATTATGATCAGATTCCTCCACAGGAAAAAAGAACACTGCTTTGAAAATGTAACCAACTCCCAACAAGTGATTTTAGCTCACTTGCTTTTTGTGCCCTAAACTAACCTGGGAAGCACAGATTTTAAGGGTTTTTTCGGGCCTTTTTTCTGCAATTGCATAAATTGCTTTTTGTGATACACATGGCTTATTCAGTTGATAGTAAGATATGGAAACAACTTAATGCTTTGCCGGTATTTTGTTTGGGGGACAGGAATGGGCAAGTTGGGGAGTGACTCAGTTGCACTTGGCTACAGTGGATTTTAATAATGCACCATCCCAAGAGATGCTTAGAAAAGGAGTTGAATTCATTGAAGAAATGAACCAGAACCAAAACAGCGTATATGTTCACTGCAAGGCAGGAAGGGGACGCAGTGCCACACTTGCAACATGTTACATTATGAAGGTAAAGTATGAAGTTACTTTTAATTATTAAATAAAGCGAGCATTTAGTGATACTCACAGAAGCCATTTCACTGTGCAGTTCAGTTTCAAGAACCTTTTTCCTTGACCTTCTAACTCCCTTGAGTGACCAAGATGAATTTCTCCTCACAATATCAGTACAACTTCAACCAGGTAAGGGTTGAGAATAAAGAAAAATAACAATTTTGGGATAATTAGTTGATTCAACACTAAATTCTATGAACTAACATTTTAATAATTGTGTGGTTAACAGTATGGAGAATTACAAATTTGATCCAGGAGTTAAAGGGTTGATAGTGTGGTAGGTGGCTGTTGTTAAAAAATCTATCTATGAAAAAAGGAGACTAGAGTTCAAACTTCATAGAAAATATGGATCAATATCAGTATCTGGGCAACTGCCCACCTACCCCTCCCCTAACCCAACATTAACTCTAACTTGTTATCAATAGACTGTTGTTGGGTTAGGGGAGGGGTAGGTGAGCAGTTGCCCAGATACTGATGTTGATCCAAAAATATTTATTAAACTTGTGAAATGAGTCACCACATTTGGTTAAAATAAAAACTCCAAAACTTCTTAAAATTCCAAAGAAAGGGGTAACAAATTTGCACAAACAAAAGTTAAAAAAATAACTGACCAACAAACAACAAAAGTACACAAAAAATGTCCATGTCAGTTTTTAATGTCAACGTTAAAGTTCTTTGCAAAATCGCATAAATTGTACATGGAAAAAAGAAAAAAAAAAAGATTCAAAGGGGGGAGAGGAAGAGAGGAATAATATTGTAATTTGAAAGTCAAAAATGAAAGAGATTTTCTACAGATGTGTCCAAAAAGGAGCCATAAGGTCAAAACCCAACTTTAGAGCCTGCTCTGAGGGGAAATTAATAGATGACAGAAAGTGGTCTAATAGGAGGCAGTTGAGCACAGTCTGGTAACTGGCTTTAATCAAAATCCTTACTGAGTTAATGCACTGATCTTGGACATTTTTTGCCAAAATTTTTTAAGTTTGTTATATGAAATCATCTTTCCAATATTCTCCATTCTCTGCCATCAATCTTTTCTTCTTGTTTCATTGTTGCATCTATTCTTTTCTTATCTTGGTAAACAGATATGTTGTGGTCTCCAGCACCTGTAGACATCCTTTCCCTTCAATTTTTTCATAAAAATTGTAAATCTATCACACACCTGCAGTTTTTATCTATTTGAGAGCAAGATCCAGATAATGTAAATTTTCTTGTATTTTCTATTAAGCCAGTGGTGAAGAATGGCCTGTATATAGAGTGGGTAGTTGTTTGATGCATTGAATGGCAATGCCATGAAGGGGTTAAGGGTGGGAAATGGGGAAGTTTTCCCCCTCATGTCTCCTTACCATCACAGGTCATTTTTGAAGTTCCCCCTACCCAACCAATGTTCCAAAGTGCCTCCAAAACCAACAGCAATACAGACTGAATTACAGAGAAGTTCATTCCAAAGTAGGGCAGTGAACAGGTTTTGTAACAAGAGAAGTAAAGTTTACAACATTGTAGTTTACCATTAGCAATCTACACTTTAATGCTCCCGTACTCTCCTAATTAGTTTTATTTTCTTTTGTTCTGGATTGTAGGCCAAAAGGTTACAACCAATGGATGCTTACCAATATGTCAAGAGTAAAAGACCTCACATACTTATTGCCTCTCGGCAGTGGGCTGCTATTGAACTGTTCTACGAGAACCTGTTAGATCAAGGTCACCATGATGCAATATAAAATATTCCATTTTATACATTTACATGCAATGATGGTTTTTGAATGTTGACAGTCACAAATTATTTATTTATGTAAACAGATTTTTCACAAAATCATTAAGAAAGCTAAACTCAACACCTTTTATAATTT